TATATATATATATATATATATAATTATTAATAACACCGATTGTAAATCGTGGTGTTCTTTCTTATTAGTTTAATATATATATATATATATATATATATATATATATATATATATATATATATATATTATTGAACCATAAAAAATATTAAAAATTAAAATCTTCAGACACACTGGGTTGTATATTAATATTCTTTCGTTTTTTTTATTATTTTAATTAGATTCCTCGATTAGTTTCGGCCCAAAAATGGCCATCATCGGGAGGAGAAATATTTTTGCTTGCTGGTAGCAGTAAATTACAGAAATGAATGTCTTGATGGAGAAAATGAATTTTGTCTGTAGTTTTTATTTGTTTTTTTTTAATCTTTTTAACATGAATCTTTTAACATTCCTTGTGTTTGTCAAACAGTCTCTTTTAAGTTGTTATTTGAGATAAGAGCTGGATGGATCTATGCTTCTCTGAATTCCCCTGGTCATTTTGACAGTTTTATTGATCCTGGAGAGGGGTTGTGTCTCCGCTAAGTGTTTGTGTGTGTGTTATTTGGTTCTTAGGGAGTGAGTGAGTATGATATGTGTAAGTGTGTATATTCGTGTGTGTGTGTGTGCGTATAAGTGTGAGGCCTCCACACCTCCGTAAACATGTCTGTCTTGTGTGGGTGAGAAATGTGGGTAGGTTTTGATTTGTTGAGCTATATATTGTTACTATCTATATATTGTTAAATTTATGATTTAGCCCGGCTGGGTATTTTGTTTTTAGACGTTGTATCCACTTATTTTCATGGGACTCTAAAATATTTCCAGTGTTATCTGCCCTGAACTTTTCTTTTCTCTCAATTATAGTGAATTTGGCATGGGTTTTGAAATCGTTTTTTTCCAGGCGGAAATGTTGTTCTACAGGTAATAATTTTTCATGGGGAGTCGACTTAATTCGATTGCGATAATTATTAATTCTGTAGTGAAAGGGCCATTCAGATTTTCCTACATATTGTTTCTGGCATAGTGTGCATTCTAGGAGGTAAATTATGTTATGACTTCTACAGTTAGAATCGTGGTAGATTTTGAAAGTAGATTTAGTGATTGAGCGAGTGAATGAATTCGTGTTTTTAATATGGTTGCAACATAAACTTTTTTTGTTGTTACATGGTTGGGAAAACACTGTTGTTTTTGTTTTTAGTTTATTACAGATTACCTCGTCCCCTGAAATGTGGTTACTACCTACGATTTCTTTTAGGTTCTTAGGTCTACGATATGCAAGAAGACCGGGTCCCTTAAACAATTTTTTTAGGTCTGGTTTGAGATGTAGTATTTCCCAGCGACGCGTTTTATTATTTGGGATAGTGGAGGCAGAGTAGGGTTGAAAGTGGTTACTAGAGGAATGCGGCTAGATTTACTTTTAATCTTGTACATTAGGGTGTCTTCTCTAGTTGTGAAAATTGCTTTATTTATTTCTTCCCTGATTAGGTGTTGTGAATTGATGCTCCAGATTCTCAATGTGTTTATTTAATTCTTCATTGTTGCAACATATCCTTCTGAGTCTAAGTGCTTGTGAATAGGGAAGGTTCTCTCTGAGGTGTTTAGGGTGGGAAGACTTAAAGTGTAGATAGTTGTGGGTGTCGGTGATTTTAGTGTGTAGTGTCGTTTGTAGTTTCCTGTTTTCATCTATATAAATGCGGGTGTCTAAAAATGTTACTGATGTGGAATTTTCATAGTCAAACTTAATTGAGTCGTGCACTGTTTAGGGTCATAAGGAATTGCGTAAGTTTGTCATCACTACCCGTGAATACAAAGAATATATCATCGATATATCTTGCATAGAATACGCAGTCGCTACCAATGATTGGATAGATATGGGTCTCCTCAAATTTTCCTATGAATATTGTAGCATATGATGGAGCTGCAATGGTGCCCATGGCACAACCTCTTATTTGAAGGTAGTGTGCTCCATTGAAGTTGAAAGTATTCAATGTAAGGACATGCTCCATGAGTTTTATGATGACTTCTGTGGGGGGTCTTGTTTTCTTCTTTTAGTAAGTGCTTCCTGAAGGGCGGTTAGCCCTTCGATGTGTTTAATGTTTAAATAGAGTTGACCTAACGTCCATAGTCACTAGAATAGCATTCTCTGGAACTGTTTGTATGTGATTAATTTTGTTCAGTAGATCTGTTGTGTCCCTGATGTAAGATTTTACTTCCTTAGCTAGCGGTTGTATGTAATGGTCTATTTATTTGGAAATTTTTGTCGTGTGGCAGTTGAACGATGAAATAACCGGCCTTCCTGGGTTGTTGCTTTTGTGTATTTTACGAAGGAGATAGAAACGAGAAGGTGTAATGTTTGTGGATGTAAGTGCTGTGCATGTTTCCGTGTCGATTAGATTGTTGCGAAGCATTATGTTTAGTGAACTAGTTAATTCTTTTTATATATATATATATATATATATATATATATATATATATATATATATATATATATATTATTATATATATATATATATATATATATATATATATATATATATATATGTTCTTTCTTATTAGTTCAATATATATATATATACCGGGGGTAGCACCTGTTTGGGGCAAAGAGTTAACACTAAACCTGGGTCAAAACACTATAAAATTGTAAAAAATAGGTTTTAGTACCACAGCATATTTTGTAAAAATTATTACCAGCAATGAATTTTTGAAGGAAAAAAAAAATTACCATCAATACATTTTGTGAAAAAAAAATATTACCAACAATACATTTTTAAGAAAAAAAAATATTACGAGCAACACATTTTTGGAAAAAATATTGCCTGTAATAAAAATCTCCTCGGCATTGAATAACCCACTGAGGTTGATATGTCGTAAAACAAACCAAACCAAACCAAACAGAAAAATTTCGTTAGAAACACAGAAAAATAGTGTTGAAGTGCTATGTCGTATCAATGAGTCTATATAACAATGAATGCTGGGAGATTTCCTCACAGATAAAGAGGTAACTTGGAGAAACAGAGATGTGATTCTAAAGAAGAATTTTGAGAATGTCACGAACGGATCAAGTGAAGAATTAGGAAGTTTTAAAGAAAATAGACACTTGATTTTAAAATCTTAAAAAACTGAAAAATATAGTAAGGAATAAGAGTTTAGAGAATTTCACACTAACAAGTCATATTAAAGTCAAGGGAGGCAAAGAAAAAAAAACAGCGAAAATCCTTCCTAGCGATCTTTTCTAAATAGACGACCGAACAGGGATTTCTGGGATAGGGAAGTGAAAAATATTGCTATGCACTACAACGGAAATTTATTATTGATTTACCAGATTCTTTTCATGGGACATCACATATAAGAGAAAATTCTATGGAGAAGGTAAGAAATATTTTCCAGGTTTTAAAAGAAGAAAAAAATATAAAACATTTACCAATATGATTCCGTCTTTCTTTTTTCTTTCAGTGGTTTTATCCCTCTTTCTTTTGATCCTGGTCGCTGTTCTCTACATAGTCTGTCATCACACCAGGCAGAAAGGAGACTACGACACGGAGGAGGTGAAAGACATGGTTCTCACAGATCGATCGGATATGGCTTTCATGTATAGTCCAGACGGAGTACCCATCCCCCATCGAAAAGAATGGTTTGTTTGAGTGAAACGTACAAATAAAAGAAAAAAAATGAAAGAACGAAAGAAAAATAAGAATAAATTGTTTCAATCATGTCTTCCTATCGGCTGCCCAGTGAATGTCAGCTGAAGCAGAAGACTTAACCTTTTAAAGACTGGGAAACATTTTTATCGTCTGCTGTTAATAACGCAAGAAAAAAAAAATCAACAACGAATAGAATGAAAAAATGATTTCTTTTTGATGTCTGTAAAGACATGATGACGGAAAAGAAGAGAAAGTGAAGAGAAATGAAGAAAAAACATGACTTGTTAATGTGTAGACGATAAAAAACCTATTTTTATCAACCCACTAAAAATACCACAGAAAAAAAAAAGAATAAAAAAATGTTCATCATTTTTTTTCTTAATTCTCAATTCTTAACAATCAATTTTTAAGTCAAGCTATCAGGTTTCTAAGCCGTACTTAAAACTAGAACTATATCGCTTTGCACATGCTAAGTCGTTTCGTGATATAAGGAGTCGATAGGAGAAGATAGGTTCGCCTAGCGTCCGGTTCACAGCCCTCCTCTGTCTTTTAAACAAGAGTAGAGGTTTATCCTTTGTTTGCTGTTTATAACTGGCTTTCGGTTCCTTCTAAATTCTCCTTCAATTCTTTTCTTCTAATGTCACCACCTAAATTCTGAAAATTTGCTTACTATTTATTTATTTTTTCTTCAATAGGAGTAGGTTGGTTGGCATATCGTCCCGTTCACACTTCTGCCTGGTTTCTTGAACAAGAATAGAGGTTTATCTCTCGTTTCTTGTCTAGAACTGGATTTCCGGCTCGTTCTAAAAAAATTCTCTCCCAGTAAACTACTTGCGTCTTAGTGACATTATCGACTGGCTTCGTATGAATTGATAATGAAAAGATCATGGCTTTTCACAACTAATGTTTGTCGCTCTAAATAACTCTTACCCCCTTAATAGAGCTTTCATATACTTCTTTTATTCAAACACTTCCAGCGGTTGTCTCACTGTTTTCTCTGTCACCAATGCCTTCAAAATTATCTGTGAGTGTTAAATTCTCCAAGCATTCTTTCCTTTATGAAATTTCAACATTCTCTTCCTGATTGTTAGAGGCCGTTTTTTTTTAGTGACGAATAAAATCTTTTCTCGTTGCTCAAATGATCTCGCCATGGCGTTTCCTTCCATTCATTGGTAGATCCATGTCACCTTAAGTGTCTTTTTCACCTGTATGGAACTTGTCCAGGTATCACTGCCCTATAGGGAATAGATATTACATAGCATTTTTTCTGGTCCGTTCAATTTTTGCTTAATTTTCAGGTGTCTTACAGTAATTTCTGCACCTTCGGATTTCTGTGTCACAATCACCGTCGTCTGTTTCTACACTGCATATAATTTTAAATTTCCGCATCTGAATGATTTTGACGTCCCCAATATGTAACAAACACCTTGTTCTGTCTCTTTTGCTGACAAGTAATCATTCTCCTGTTATATTAATGGTTTATCCTTTCTGTTGAGCTTTCCCCATCAACAATGCACAATAGTTCTTTTAGTTGTCTTCTTGTCATCAACAAAGTTTTATCTGTTTAGTATATGTGATTTAAGATATACATATTAATTTAAGTAATTAATAGACATTTTCGATAAAACCATACTTCTTATTAACATAAATTTATAATGTGTGTCACGTGTTTGAGTAAATACCACCGTTTATGAAAAACAGTGTCATTGACATCTACCGGCCTAGAATATTAAAAGTGTTATGAAAGAAAATGTACGTTTTGATGATCTAGGCCGGTAGATGTTAATTCCACTGCTTGTAAATAAATTGGGGTCCCTACTAAAACACATGTGCCTAATAAAATAATGTTTATAAAGATAAGTTATAAGGATCTAAAATGCTAGCAAAATGATTTTTAAGGGGTCTACCGGCCTAGATTATTAAAAGTCTTATGAAAAAAGTATCTGAATAATAATAATAATAATAATACCTTTTAGGATCCGTGGAAATTCCGTGGTTTCGGCAATTAATTTTATCCATTCTTTCACTTTTTTGTTTTTTTTCTTACACATTGTCTGTATCTTCGCATTCTCTCCCTTATCTGTTTTAATCTTCCTTATCTGTTCATGTTTATATCAAAAGGGAATGGGAAATGCATATTTTTTTTTTTTGAGCACGTTCTTTTATCCTTTGCTCCATCTGATCACAGAGAATTTTATTGGATCTCACTTTTAACGCGTTTATATCTTCATGACATACTATTACTTGTTCTCCGGCTACTCTGTTTATTTTTTTTCCCTTTAAGCCGGTTTTCCTTTCTCTTTTCTCGATCTTTCTTATCTTCTACTTTTCATCCTTTACACCCTCTCATCCCCACACCTACCCACTTGCTTTCTTACGTCCTATCTTTTCTCCTTCACACTCGCTTATTCACACCTTCTCTCCTCTCGCCAATTTACCTCCTGCCTTTCTTACATCACACCTTTTTATTCCCACCTCCTCCACTGTTGCTTTCTTACCTCCTACTATTTTTCTTCTGATTCTCCCTCACCTCTCGCTATCTTACCTCCTACCTTTTCTCCTACAAATTCTCTTTTACTCTATCTTTGTATTCTTACCTCCAACCACACCTCTTTATTAGTCACCCCTCTGCATTTCGCTTTCTTCCCTTTCCATCTTCACACTCTTCATTTTACCCCTCTTTCGCTTTCTTACCTCATACCTTTCCTTTTTCACATTCACTTTTCTCGCTTTGCTTTCTTACCTCTTACATTTCCCCATTCACCTTCTCTTATTCCTCCTGCCCCTTTTGCTTTCTTAACTCTTACCGTTCCTCCTTTAAATTCTCTTCCTCTACCGATTCGCTATTTTTTAACTCATACCTTTCCTCCTTCAGCTTCTCTTATTCCACTCCTCATTTCTCTTTCTTAACTTTTCTTCGTTCACCCTCACGTATTCTGCCTCCTCGTTTCTCTCTCTTACAGCTTACATTTCCTTTTCTCTGCCCTCTTATTCTCCCATCACCCTTCGCTTTCTTACTTCCACTATCTACTCCTACTTCCGCATCCAATCTCCTTTTTCTACAATGTCATTGAGCTTAATATTATTATAAAGGTTTTGAAGCGAGGAAGCAAGAGTGATTTCATCTCGAAAGTGCTGGGAATCGAACTGATACTACACTCTAATCATTTATTTTTAGTGAAATAACTCTTTAGGGCGTAGCAGTTCACGATTCTACACAGGCTAGCTTTTCTGGATTGCTTTTTGTATGGGCACGAATAGTTTTCTGTTGCCTTCTTCAAGGTTTTGAATTCAGAGACTTCTTGTCTTAGAATTGTTTCCATCCAAAGCCATAGTGCTGATTAAGCTTTAGGGACAATGATGATGTTTAATTCATGTTTTATTTCAACTACTTTTGAGCGAAAGTGAACGCAATAGACGAGGCAAGAATTTGAACTCGGCCCGCCCATTCAACGTTCCACAGAGATAATAATCCCACTAACTTCACATGAGTTTAGGCAACAGAATGGAGAGGAGATGCCTTTTCAGCTTCTTGGTGAGTTTCTGCTGCTGTGGCGTAAGTTGTTTAATGTCGAGTAAAATAGATTTGAACGACTCAAATCAGTTTAAAGTCACTTTAACAAATTGAAACAATTTTTATGGGTCGCCGTCTAAAATCTATTCCGTCACCGGAGCATGTGAATTCATGAATTCCGGACTTTTAGCAATATTATCACTCCACTGGCCATCTCTCGACTTATACCGTCTTTCCTTGAAAATGGCTAACGAGGGTCGAAACTACTCAAAATATTATACACAATTTTCGCAAGTCCCTTTGAATGTTCCCACCCGATATCAAAGGATTTATTCGAAAACATTTCGTTCTATTTAATACCATACACATACAACTACATCCCCCCCACACACACAAATAGCAATCTTTTTAAGAACATACTCAGATATCTAAATAACCAGAGCCCGACAGCTGATCCTTCCTTTGAAATACCCCCAACAACTTAAGAAGACTTTTCTGTAAAATTCAATACAGTAAGTCCCCGGGTTACGACAGTCGCGATTCGTGGTTATGACGCAATCTCCATTAATCATGTTTCGCCTTATGCTTTTTTGCCTCGTACATACGACGCATGATTCCGAGTACTACAAGAGAGACAAGATCTTACGCTTCGTTTTCTCAACTACCGAGAGCCAATGACATCACTGGCAATAAATATACAAGCAACTTAAAACAATTTCATTTCATTATATGTATTATATATCTTCCATGTTTTCTTTTAGTCTTAATTATATCATGTATCATAGAAATGTGTTGTTATATCCCATATTATTACTCTATGGTTGCGTTAGCATATGTGAGTGACGTAAGTGCTTCTACAGGGAAAATCACTACGACGTTCCTACTTACGCCGAAAATCTCGTTACGACGCATCGTAGGAAGGGATCTTTGTCGTACGTCGAGGACCCCCTGTAGCTTAAAAGCCAATCTAGTAACGTTCAATCATCGCCGAACAGATCTGGAATTATCAGCTATCAAGATAAACGGTTGTTCTCTCAAGGAGAATTCTTGAACGCCGCTTGGGATTCGAGTTCATCTCAAATCTCAAGTAAAACTCACATATACAATGCATATGGGAGGCCTCTTTACAAATGCTGGAAAAATTATCGTACCTGACTCCTTCTATTGTGTTCTACCATAACAAGAGCCAGATCAGACTCAAAATGGTATATTTCTGTCACTTCCGGGCTGACGCCACCATGTTCTAACTCTTCAGCTTTTATAGAGTTCGAAAACTTTTCCTTTCCATCCTGCAAGCCGTTTCCCAGAGACTAAAAGTAGCAAACCACTCGTTACTCCATCGCTACTTCCAAGGTAAATGATCTGACGAGCCAGATTCCTTCACAGCTAAAACACGCTAAGAGAGACACAGTAGGGAAAAACATTCCATTCCTATTACATTAGTAAGAATGGAGATCAACTCGAAGATTCTTTCTCAATCACTAAATTCTTAGCCTTTTTCTAAGGAGCTGCACATCCTTCATCCTCCTCTTATCGCACATGAAACAAACTCTAACTTGAGTGGCTCTAAGTTAAATTAGGCAGGAAATAGAAATTAAGTTAATTTCTATTTCCTGCCTCATCTAACTTTATATACAAGAACTCATTCCACATCGGGGTTGATAAGACAGACGACCGATATCTTCGTCTGCTGAAATATTCTCCATGTAAGGTAATTTTGGATTTATTTGTTTATTAATTATATATTTTTTTTATATAATAGTAAGAATAATGAATATATTTTCTTTTAAAGAAAAGTGATGTAAGTGGTAATGTTTAGTTATCGAATTAGTATTTAAAACGTAAAACATTGGATTGAACTATGCAAGAACAAGTCCAGCTTACCTCGTTATGAATTCCGGGGAAATAGCTCGAATCAAAACCGGATGAAGCAAAAGACGAGACTATATAGGGGGGAAGGGGGAAAAGCCTTTAATTTATTGGCTGATATTGACTGACGTATGTCAATAAGAACGGTCAGAATCCTAGCCACATCTGAATTTTTCTTTGCAATGTCGGGGTGCGTAGCAGGACACTATCAAGGAGGCAGCCTGACCCTTTTGGAATCAAGTCGGGGTTGCTGTTTGAGGCGATATGATGCAAAACCCGAAATCAAGCGATATGATGCAGAACCCGAAATCGACAATGAAGTCAGTTCATCACTGAATACCATCCTTGATGCATCTGTAACGTAATACTCTACTATATATATATATATATATATATATATATATATATATATATATATATATGTGTGTGTGTGTGTGTGTGTGTGTGTGTTTGTGTTTGTGTGTGCGTGCGTGCGTACAGAGAAGTAATGTAGTTTTAAGATTTTTATCACTTCATATGTAACTTTTAGTAGGATACTCATATTTCACTAGACGCAACGTTTATTTATTAAAGGTATATTTATTTATTTTCGTTTACTGGCCTGAATATTTAAGAATTCATATTAACTATGAGTATCCACTAGAAATAAATTTTAAGTCATAAAATCTAACGGTTTAATAAATAAAAAAAAAAATACTTCTTTAGAAATTGCTTTGTTTACGCTTGGATACGAAACTGAGAAGATTAAAATTTCTAGAGTCTATGACAATAAGGATTCCGCCTCGCTCGATTGGCAAATGTTCTTCGTGGCTGAGTCGGTATAAGCACATCGTATCTAACAACGGTTTCTCATGCTAAAAGGGGACGCGGATGGGTCAATATTTGTCTTTAATGAGATAAATAGACGTAGCGTCTACTTAAATATGAATAACCACTAAAATAGACTCTACATGATAATATATATATATATATATATATATAGTGTGAATTTAGGCAGCAAATTCTCTTTTAAACACGTCTGATTAAATAAATTCAAATATTATGACTGCTCATTTTTAGCATAATCCGTTGATATTCACATATCATATATTATACAAAATACAATAAAATCAATTTAATTCATTGCAATGTCTTCTGCCCACCAACTGATGTATTGAGTAAAACTAACATTATATATCAATTCAAATATCGCTTGGGAGAATGTATCTCCGACAGAAAACCATATATATATACGTTGGATAAACGACAAATATATTATCAAGCCGTCTTACTCTACACATGTCTGACCATTCATCCATTGCGAGACATTTGCACTAACATTCCTGTCTACATTCACAATATAGAAAAATACTGATCGATAACACAACTATTCTACACCAAGATAATAGCAAATTAATACTACAGGTCCTTGAAGCAATCTACATTAAAATATTGATGCTGGCAGTGAATAGAATCAGCTACCAATACTGTAATAATGTTTTAAAATGCCTATAAAAAACAGTTTTCATATTTTAATGCGCACTTGACTATGACATTCAAACATTTAGACATTCAGATAGCATAACTGTCAGTCGTTGCATTTAAACGCAAAAAGAAAAAAAATCAGTAATTGATGGATACACATAGTTTTTGCCTTACCAGTTGCACCCCTGACAATGACCTCAGAAAGAAGGTGGAAAATACTTGAGAAATAAAAGTGATTCCCACTGTTACACGGCATTTATTGCATCATTTGATTGTAATACACGGAAAAATATCCGTGAATAAGAACAGATTATGCTATAAATAAACATAATGTTTATAACTTATTTAATCAGACATGCTTAAAAGTATATATATATATATATATATATATATATATATATATATATATATATATATATACTCGACTCTACCGTCGAATCCGATGTATGAGGGTCAAGCAGATCAGTTCCTAGAAACCGACAGCTCGACAACAGCACAAGAGATGTGATTATAGTGGTGAAGGTTGCGTGCAGAACCATCCACACTTTTTGAAGGGCTGAATACAGAGACCTGGTGCACTAAGTGCCACAAGGTCCTCAAACGACCCTCCGCAGGTTTTGAATTCAGAGTTGTTCTTCTACTAGACCAGTTGCCAACCAAGGCTATTGAACCCAGTCTATCCTGCTATTTGCCCATAGCAGGAGGGAGAAGAAGAGGATTCACACTTTTCTCAAGGGTATTAACACGTAATGGATTTAGCACGTAATGGATTCGACTGGAATTCTAACTCGGTTCAATGCAAGCCGCTATCCATTACTCCACCGTGCCTCCTATATATATATATATATATATATATATATATATATATATATATATATGTTATAATTGTTGGGGAATCCTTGAATATTATAATAAATTATAGGGATACCTCCCCGTACGTTCTTAATTGGATCTAGAGGTCATGATAAACCACTTAAGTCAAAATGACCACACTATAAACCGCAAATAAGCACTCACCATTGCCTATTACAGTATTTATTATATAATTCTGAATAGAATAATT